GGGAGTGCAGGTATAAGGAGTCTAGGCCTTTATTCTTGAAATCAAACTTTTATAAACACACAGTTGAACTGCATCTTAACTTCAGTGTTAACTCTTGTGAATGTAATATGTTTTTCAAATTGGTATTTTAGAAACAAAAAGAACTAATAAAGAAAACAGGCTTGCAAAAATTAGTATTTTCCACTTTCCTCTCCCAAACAGTTAAAGAATATAAGTCTTGTTTGTGAAATATAGAGAGAAGTCATAGGTCCCACTCACACACCTGTGATATTAACATAGCTTACTTTCATTTGCTGTCTGCTTTCCTCATATTAAAAATGAAAGCACAAAAAATAATATCCACTGTAGCCTTACCTCACACATCCATCCATTCACTTCAGCTCCTCCACCGTAATAACATTCCCAAACATACCCCCTGTGCTCTCAGTTCATGCACACTTGCTACTCAACTGCAGGTCATTAAGCTGCACACCTGCAGTGACTTAACTCGTGCTTTACTCAGCTCTGAAACCCCATCCCCAGCAAGAGCGAAATCATTCACTCTTCACACTCTCATTAAATGTTGTCTTTTCCTTATGAACTCTGTGGCAACTTCCCTGATGAATCCAACCTGTAATACTCAGTAGGTAACTGAAGAGAAACTCTTTATTATGCCAGCTACACACAAATGTGTAACTATTTAGGAGGAATAAAAAAAGGTAATTTCCAGGTTAGGTGATGTGGATGGCCATTGCCTTGAAACAGGAGCAATCTGTATGCAACTGCATATCACTAAGCATTTAAGTGTGTGAAGAGATGCCAGGATTTAAAGCTTTTTCGCTTCACTAAACACCATTTTAACTAAAAATACTTACTATAGGGACAGGCTTTCCATATGAATACTGTGATTTTTAAATGCTGTCTGTATTTTGAGTCTCTGAAAGACACATGCTGTTTATGTAACACCTGCATATGCAGAAAGAAATGGAGTAGATGTGAAGTTAAAGCTGCCCACCAGCTAAAGAATCCTTGGTGGGGAATAAAAGCTTTGCTGTGGGTACCTTTAGTATCACCCATGTTTTTTGAGAATTCTGTTTGCAAATGGTTTCATGGCCTGTTCCATGAAAGTGAATTTCCAACCATAAATAAAACTCTACAGGCAGAGATCCCCAGGGTTCTCACCATGGAAAATTCCTTTTCATGACCTTCCATCCATAGGACTGAATTTATCTTTGACATAACACCACTGGTGTTAATACTACATGAAAGATAAATTTCCCTTACGTCATTTGTTTCATTTTTTAAAGCCAAGGAAGCCAGGTCAGGCACTCCAAAAGAGTAAACCACCTTATTTCCATTTCCACCTGCACCTTAGAGCCAACTATTTAGTCCCACTATCCCTAATGGTGGATTAGATTTTATGGTCAATGCAGGATGATATTTTAGTGAAGGATGTTGATAAAATAGTCACAACCAGTTCAGAAACTGGATTCAGTTTTGAACATACCTTAGGGTGGGGTACCGGGGATTAAAGGTATCCAGAAGAGTACACTCTCTCCAGCCTGAGGAAATCAATAATGGTTGACTAAGAGGCAGGAGGCAGTGATGGCTTGTGTATTGCCCATAGCATTTCAGCTGTATCTTTTCTAGGGGGGTTAATGATGATCAGCAGTTCTCATTCCTCACAGATAGTTGGTAGCTGTCTAGGGCTGTGTTAGGGGCTATGTTTTAGGCATGGAGTACACAATACTGTCCTTAACATCCTGAGAACTACCATTTCTGAGTTAGCCAGAGGCTGTGGTGCAGTAAATCCAGAAGCTGTCCCTCCTGTGATATATATTCCCCTTACTTTCCATCCAGTGTGCCTGACCTTCATGCCCACAGAATTGCTTTTGAAAAGCAGTGCAAAGGTCCATGGCTTTCATGCTCCATTTTACATGGGACATGATTTATGAGTAGAAATCCTGTAAAAATGGAATTTCAGATGCATTTCCTTCACCGACAGGTTGGCAAACATAAATCACAATGCAAGTGCCAAAATCCCTGCCAGTGATCAACAGATTTTATCAAGCTTTTATAGCCTTCAAAAGCAAGCTCCACAGAATCTTGTTCTAATTTGTTATTAACTTGCTATTAGAAAATAGCATTGAATGAGCAATATTTGCTACAATGCCATGCACACAAACTGTCTGCAATACCTGCAAATAAATTATATCTTCTTCTGATCTAAAAATACGTATTTCTTATTATATTCTTGGAAGAATGGAGAAAGTTACTTGGTTACAAAAAGACCACAAATGCTGTGCACCGGGTAAACAGTCTCATTTTATGCACTGACTTTGTGCACATCTGTGCAAATAAAGCCATTGTTACAAGCACAAAGAGCTGCGGCATGCAATACAAACAGCTATGAAACCATGAGTGCTGCTATGTGTTGAGTCTTTAAATGGAAGTGGCACATCTGCTTTTGGCATAGGAGTGTAAATCAATCCAAGATGTTTATTAAGGAGTCAGTAACGACCTGTCCACACACTCTTTCCTCCATCCAGCCTTGGGTTTGTTCTTGCTTTGTTATTTTCCTGGCAGTTAAACATGGGCTCTGCACACTGAAAGCATGTGGTGTTTCTTCACGTACGGATAACATAACATGTCACGTAATATTGAACAAGTATGTGATGCAGAATGGTTTGGACAAAAATGCAAGCCAAAATGAGGTGGGGAGGAAAGGGTAAGTACAAACAGCTACAGAACAGTGACTGAAAGGTTTGTTACTCTGCAAAAGGCAACTGTGTTTTCTAATACCTTTTGAATTACTGAGACCTAGATTTGATTCCATGTTCCAGCTCTTGGCAATTAATGAGCAAAATTTGCAATAGTGAACGATGGTGAATATTTTCTTAAGGAAGTCAATAACTGATTTTGCATTTGCTGAAGGTATTTATACCACTGGGTATTATATCACTAGGTCTACCTGAGCAGGACTGGTAGGAGCACAGGCCTTTCAGCTCTGGCATGGGTTGACCAGCAAGAAAGTCAACATAATATTGGCACTGGCCAATACTGACACTGCAAACTGGCCCTTTTTGTGAGTAATTGTTGGTGTATTTGGCACAACCTGTAGCATGTTCCTTTCCCACGGACTGAGGAGCTCTAGGGTTTGCTGTAGAACAGCAGTCTAAGGACAACAATGCCTTTTGTGGGCAGCTCTTTGTGGGCTACCTGCATGAAGAAGCACTTAAAAGACTGGACCTCAGGATGAAGGCAATGACTCCAGGTCTGAGAGTAGAGCCTGGGCCATGCAGTGCTCCTTCCTCTTCCATCAAAGGATGCACAGGAAAGCGCCCTAGGAAAGGTAATCTTCAACAGCTAGGCAGGAGGAACAACCCATTCTGTGTCCCAGTGAAGGGCCTAGTTCGTAGCATGTCTTCGAGTAACCAGAAGTAGAAAGAAAAGTACAATGGATGTTGTATTCTTGACTTCCATGTGGGGAGATCGTAACAGTGATGTTGTTCTTCAAATGCATTGAAGGAAACAAGACATATCCTGTCAGATACTAAAGGGAGGCTCATCCACTGGAAAGGCAGTATCTCTTTTGTATGACAGCAGGGGAAAACCACTGTTTTAAGAGACAAGATTGAAAAACAGACTGGTGATGGGAAATGGTTCAGGAAGGCTTGTTGTGCAGAAGAAGGAACAGAGGCTGCTGGAAGTCTGCCACCCAGTGTTTTATACTTGCACATTTAATTGACTAGACTGAACAAACATCTTCTGTAATTGTTCGTTTCTCTTTGTTAAAATGGTCAGGATATATTAAAAGGCTGGATTCCATATGCATATGTTTCAGTGATAATGTTACCTATTAGCTCTGTCATAAAGTGTCTGAGACTACTGTAAATTTGTTAATTGGATGTCTTTTCATCTGTAGTTGAAATTCAGCTGCATGAGTGACCCAGGTGGATTTGGTCAGCAATACAGAACATACCAGGACAGAATTTATACAGTCATTTCTACTGAAGGCTAGAATTATCTTGATCAGACTTGTCACAGTATCCTGTTAAAATATTTTAGCCAGGGAAAAATATTAATTAAATTAAATCTAAATACTCAGGTAGGCCTGAAAAGTTAAAAAATGAAAAGATAAAGTAATGCTTTCTCTCATTTATTCCACCCACTCTTAAGTTTCTCCTTTTAATTTAATTTTATTTTATTCCATATGCCTGATAATGGGACTTTGTGGAACTGAACCTTTTGCAAGTTGCTGTGCCAGCTTTTTGGAGAGCATCTTGGACAGGTCTCTTCATTTTAATTTCATTTTTTCTTTCTATGGCTGAAACATTGTTATTTAAATGAGTGCTTTGAGCTCAGATTTTTTCAATGCAAATGTGTGCTGCTTTCCTATTGAATTGAAACCATCAATACTTCATTTTCCCTATGAAAAGCAGGATAAAAAGTAATATTCTCAGGCCTGAAGGTGAGTTGGGATGTTACTTTCGTGTGAATTTAAGCTAAAAAGGGGAGCTACATACAATGGTGAACTACCAAAATACTGGCTTAATCTTCCTTCTGCCCAAGATATGATTAAAGCAGTTCTGTATATTTTAAAGAACAGCTGATGTAGGGAAGGTGCCAAGACACAGCAGACCAGTCACACTCCCTCAAGGCATTCTGTATAAGCTGTTTAGGGGAGTGCACACAGAAGTGAGACACTATGTGCCTCCAGCAGTCTTATGGTGCTCTATATCATCCTCGCTTTTGAAGGTTGTGACGCATTTTAATTTGAAAGTAGTGTCCTAGCATTTTTAGTTTTCTGGAAGCTGTCTACCAGGAACCATAGTCTGAACTTACAGAACATCTTAGAGGGAAGTAATAGCGAAAAAGGTAAAAAATAATAGATCTTGGTTTCCTTTAGAGTATACTACATGCCTGTCTTCAAGCTATTATTTTAGCTATAATGTCTAGAAATGTAGGGCTTTTTTTAAATCTGTGAATGTGGAAGTTCTCCAGTAATCACAAGCCTCCTGGAGCATGAGTTTTCTGCTTATCAAATATTGCAAGAGATGAAAAACACCACATCCCATGCCCCCAGCATCAAAAGGGTTGGCAACACCTGAGTTGCATGCACCCCTGATCCCTGCCAGACCAAGAGGCATGTGATGCTGAAGCACGTGGATTGTCTCACCCCTTCTCCCACTGGACAAGCTCTCATCTCACAGCAAAAGATGCCACAGTCCATGCCCAGTAGCACCATGCCAGCAGTATTAGCAAACAGACCTCAGAGACTCAGCTGCCCTTTTAATCACAGAAGTTCTTGTTTTCTCTCAGTGTCAGTGGCTGTTGCTCCAGCCCAGGCTTTTAAACATGTTATTCCTGGACTAACGAAAACTTGAAGTGCTGCTTACCCTGCAAGACCAAATTTATGGATGAGGAGACAACTTCAGCCTGCCAGGTGATAATTTGGCACCCTTATGTCAGTCTTAAAGTCCCAACAGCTGTAAATATTTATTGGATATGAAATATACTCCAGCTAACGCATTATCATATGAATAAATCTAACCTTAAATAAAGCATGTGCTCTCCATCTTTTATTCAGTTTATAAAATTCTTGATTCTTGCTCTGCACATTCTCAGCTTAATACAGCTATTATGTACAGCAATCTGTGGCATGCCTTGATTTCTTTTCTAATGCAACATTTGGCTACTTGTATTTCATCTATTACAGCTTTTGCAAAGTTTTGATTTGATAGGACAAGCACAGTGAGGGCATTAGGACCAAGAAAAAGACGCACACATTGCTCTGTATTATGTCTGGCAAAGTGCTTCCTGACTGAGTGCCGTAGTTATGTGTGAAAGAAAGTCAGGGACCGACTACTTCTCATCTGTTGATCACAGTTAACTTGAAGTCTCTGAACGGGGGAGAGCTGTCAGATTTGCTTTCAGAAATACAGTGCTTCAATCCAGGCAGCAACGGGAAACTTTGAAGAAGCAGGATCTACTCTGGAATAAATTATAGGAAACGGGATTTCTTTCGACTTAGAATTTTAAAAGGGAAAAAAAATCAAAGCTTTAGTTACTCTTTTAATCAGCAAAGCATGCACTTTCCTAACTAAGCTGGGACTCCATATAATAAAGGATCTACTTTATCTCACTGGATCCATGCTACATTTTACTACAGTAAGTACAATATTAATAGGAATGTTACCATTTTTTTTTCTGTAAATAGAGAGGAAAGCATGAAATGGCATCAGTGAAATGTGAAGGGAGAAAAAAAATCCTCTTGGCAGATAGTGAAAACCAGGGCTTTTGTGCAACCCGAGGACTGAAATCTGAGGAAGATCCAAGTGATATTTAACATGACCATCTGTATCATTTTGTCACCAACAGTATGTTCTTGAGGAAGAAGTGCAGATATGGATCACGTAAGCTGCAGTTTCTCTTGTTGTTTCTGATGCTGGGTTTTTTGCTACTGATGGTTACAACGCTGAATCCACCACCCAGCAACCAGAGCAAGGAAGGGACTTTCCAGCCTGTGGAGTTCAACCCCCGGGAAGGGTATCAGATGGACTTTGTGGAGACCCAAGAGATGCTGGAAACCCAGGAGGAGAGCCAGCAGTATTACCCTTTGGATGGTCTATCGCCTTTCATCTCCCTGCGGGAGGATGAGCTGATCATGGCCGTCGTGTCGCCCACCGGCAAAAGGAACCACAGCAAGGCCAGGAAGGGCTATCGCGTGGTGAAGCAGCAGAGCAGGCGGCCGGAGGGGAAGGCAGAGGGGGGCCCCGAGTCCCAGCCGCTGCCCATTCCCCTGCAGGATGGGCAGGGGGCTGCTGCGGGGGAGCGGCCGCTCGGCCTTGAAACCCACGGCTTTAACGAGGTGCTCAGCGAGCGGATCGCGCTGCGCCGGGACCTGCCTGAGGTACGACACCCGTTGTAAGTAAAACACCCTATTTCACTTCTGGGGGAAAACCTGCCTCCTTCCCCGCCGCCGCACCCCCCCCCTCCCCCCCCCGAACCTCTCTTCCTGCCAACCCCGCACCTCTCCTCCTCTAGACCTCGCGTCTTTCCTATCGAACTCCCTGCTCCGGGTCGGGCGCTCCGCTCCTCAGACCAGGGACGCTCCCAGCCTCCTCCTCCGGGAGGTGGTTCAAGCCCTCAGAGCGGGCGGGCGACAAAGGCGGAGGGGGGCACGGTGCGGGGGGCAGCCGGGACTGGCTGGGTGAGCGGAGCGCTGGGGCGGTGTGAGAGCCCACGGAGCGCTGGGGCGGTGTGAGAGCCCACGGAGCGGTGTGAGCGCCCACGGAGCGGTGTGAGCGCCCACGGAGCGGTGTGAGAGCCCACGGAGCGGTGTGAGCGCCCACGGAGCGGTGTGAGAGCCCACGGAGCGGTGTGAGAGCCCACGGAGCGGTGTGAGCGCCCACGGAGCGGTGTGAGCGCCCACGGAGCGGTGTGAGAGCCCACGGAGCGGTCTGAGCGCTGCCGCGGCGCCTCCGCGCCCTCACCACGAGGCCCGGCGGGCGGCAGCGCCCCCTACCGGCGCCCGCGTCACGGCAGGTGCCGGGGGCGGCAGGGCAGGGAGCGCCCCGGGCCCACGCCCTTCTCTGTCCGTCTGTCCGTCTGTCCGTCTGTCCGTCCGCCTCCTGGGCTGAGGAGGAGAAGAAGCAGCTTCCCTTCTCGGCCAGGCCCCGTCTCAGCCCACCTGCCATAGCTATGGGGTCACTGGGCTTACAAATTGATGAATGAGTCAGGAGTTGGGGCTTTCAGCTCTTCCAGAATAAAAGTGGCCCGATGGTGACTCATAAAAGTGGAGCCGACTCTACACTGGTGTGGCTTCACTTTATCGTGTGCAGTTTTGGGCACCACAATATAAGAAAGATACAAAGCTATTAAAGTGTGTCTAGAGGAGGCCAACAAAGATGGCAGTGGGTCTGGAGGAGGAGCTGTGTGAAAAGCCACTGAGGTCCCTTGGTCTGTTCAGCCCAGAGGAGACTGAGGGGAGACCTCATTGCTGTCCACAGGCTCCTCGCAAGGGGAGGAGGAGGGACAGGCACTGATCTCTTCTCTGTGGTGACCAGTGACAGGACCCGAGGGAGTGGCCTGCAGTTGTGTTAGGGGAGGTTTAGGTTGGATATTAGGAAAAGGTTCTTTACCCAGAGGGTCGCTGGGCATTGGAACAGCTCCCCAGGGAAGTGGTCACAGCACTAAGCCTGACAGTTCAAGGAGAGTTTGGACAATGCTCTCAGGCAAATGGTGTGACCCTTAGGGTGTCCTGGGCAGGGCCAGGAACTGGACTCAATGATCCTTGTGGGTTCTTCCAACTCAGAATATCCCGTGATTCTGTGGCAAATATTGAAAGGAAACTCCCAGGAGGAAGGAAGGTGAAGATTGGTGTGTCAGACAAGCTCTGCCAATATCACCATACCTGTCAGCAGCCAGGCTGTAAGGCCACCACGAAAAAATCTTGCATTTGAAGCTCCAGGTGTTACATTTGATGTCTGGAGACTTGAGAGCCAGTTGCCCCAGCAGCCCAGGAGGGGCTCATCACACTTCTTGAAAAGGATCTGAGGTGTATCTATCAAGCTGCGCCAGGGAAAGTTCAGGTTGGACATTAGGAGGAATTTCTTCAAAGAAAGGACAATTAAACATTGGAATGAAATGTCCAGGGAGGTGTGGAGTCACTCCTGGATGTTTAAGTAAAGACTGGACATGGCACATAGTGCTGTAGTCTCGTTGAGAAGGTGACGGTCAGTCTAAGACTGGACTCTATGATCTCAGAGGTCTTTTCTAACCTAATTGATTCTGTGATATGCTTCCCTTCCCAGGGAGAGGGCAAGGGATGTGAGTGGTGTCTTGTCTCCTGTAATAAAAACAATTGTAGTTGTTCAATTCTCATAGGGCACAGTGGAAAGATGTACTGGAAAACATTTTAAATAAAACTCAGAATAATATTTTTCCTAGTATTCATTTTCACATCTTTAAAGACAGCTGGTAGCTCTAATTTAAGGGTACAGTCTCTAAGAAAGAGAAAAGAAACAATGTTTTCTGTACTTATTTACTAGGTTCAGTGTTGATTTGGTTAACTACATTAAATAATGACATGCTGATATTATTTCAGTTATTTTTTGGCATGCTTCACTGCTAACTCTTTGAACTATGTAATGTTCAAAGGAGGAATGACTACCCTGGTTTACTGCCTGTGGTGGAAAGCCAAAAACCAGTTTGGCAGCTGAAGGGCCATCCAACAAGAGACAGCTTTAGTTAATACTGATCTTGGTAAAATATAAGCCGTGGTCTCAGAGCTCTTGGATGGATTTTGCTGTCTGACTAGTTACAGCCTAAATAGCTCTCAACACCACAGCTTACAGAGCCCAGACTGAAACCCCAGATCTCGGCATCTGAGGCTGATGTAAATCCAGATCGTAAACCTGCAGCAGAATATGTCTAAGCCAGACCTGTCCTTTGTGGCACAACACACAAACCATAATGATAATTTTTAGGTGTAGTTTACTCTGGGGGCCTGGCTCACAACTGTGTCAGTTCAGTTTTACAGCAGTGTAAAGAAAGAGCAAACCAGAATCAGATTGTCTGTGTCTCTATTCGTTTTGCATCATGTTGTTCATCACAATGTCTATTATTATTTGATTAGAGGGGAGCCGACAAGTTAGAGATGTTTCAGTGAGTTACCTCCATGGACTCAGTCTCTCTCACATCACTTGAAATTGGATGGCAGATACTTCACATAATAAAGCAGCCCATCCTCTTCATCCCTCAAGGTGCTTTCTGCTGCTTTTAGTTGCTCCAGCTGGGACTGACACTCTCCTGGGACACCTGAATCAAGCTTGCCATTGTGACATTTATGATGGGGGTTCTGCCCAAAAGAAAGGTGTGTTTTCCTCTCTTGGGTTTGGGTGTCAAAAGGCAAAAGAAACTCACAAGGTATCTAGAAAAGTTTTAAGTTTCATTACAAAAGTATAGCTTCCTCTGAACTGCTGTTTGGAGCTAAATCTCAATTAAACATTTTCCTGAAGGCGAGTGGGAGTCCCTGTCACCTCTGCTTTGCCTTGTCAGAACTGCTCTCTGTTCATTGCTGCATTGACAATTCCTTGTTTTTCACAAATTTGATTAAATCACTATGTCTCATAACAGTCACAGCCCTGACTTTTTGAAATGCCAATTTATGATAGACAGTCTATGAAACTGCTCCAAATTACAGGGAAGGTATTTTTGTGTACCAGTACCCTTGTGCATTTTTGTGAAGATTAGATATCTATATTGCAAGTCTTTGCCAATCTCCATGGCAACTAAGCACTCGCCACCAAGGTTATGTGTTCAAGTACAGTTATTTTCAATTCTTTTCCAATTAAGATTTACAACAGCCTTATTTTCTTGCTATAACCACAGTACTAGCAACTAGGTGCAAATAGCTATAGAATATTTCTGGTTAGAAGCTGCCTGGTAGTAAAAGAACTGCATCAGATTTTCACTTTCCTTAATTGCTTCTCAATTCTACTGCTTGAAAATACTCACTCTCAAGTCATGAGAGTATTCTTTTCTTGATCCTGCTGAAAACGAAAGCAATCATCTTACATGAAATTGTGAGGTAACACTATTGTTGATTACACAAAATTAGTAAATCAAGGACAATACAGATTAACTGCAGTGTAAAAATCATCAGGAAAATCTGCCTTTCTATTAAGAAAAAATGAACTATTGAAAAATATAATAAATTGCTATGATTGTGCTCATATATATTCCCAGAAGTGCATCTATAGTAATCATTTATGTGTATTCATAATTAAATCATTCGGACAATGGATTCCCTTAAGTCATTAGCATCTTTGTGTCTGGATAGTGTCTAGCAGCATAGGACCTCAGTCCATGGACGGAAGCACTAAGTAAAATCCTAATAAACAGAAATACTAAAATTATATCCCTTACATGAGTTTCTGCTGAGTAGCCAATTGTTTAACAACCACTGTAAAATCTGTATAATTATTTGCTTGGCAATAAAAAGATGCTGAAATAACAATGGGCTACATTCAGCCAATTGTGTAATTCCTTGAAGAAATTCTTGCTGCTGGAGATTAAATGAGTTAGAACACTGAATGACTGTTGTTTGGGAAATGAAAAGATTTTTAAAATGTGCTTTCTAATGTCAGCAAAGCAATATATAGACATAATCTTTGCATATCTACAACGGAAATTTGAAGGCATTTTCTGGAAATTGTGCATCCTCACACCAGAATAGATGGTTTGCATATATAGTTTCTGTGAGGCTTGTCATCTTTAAATGTTTTGAGTTATTGTGGTGGTTTAACACAAGCTGGGAATCAAACTTTCCCCTGTTCCCCTCTGGTGAGAGAAGGACAAAGGAAAGGCTATGGGTTGAGATAACATTTTACTGAAGGAAACAGCAATGGAGTAAGAAACACACAGTGACAGCAGCAATATTAATAACACAAGTATACAAAAAGAGAAGATGCTTTACACACAAAAGGCATTCACCACCTTGACTTAGCTCTGCATGGCCACTGAGACAAAGACAAGATGGCAGGAGGATGTTCCTGTGACTCAGCAATGACAGTGGTTATTCTAGAGACAAAGACAAGATGGCAGGGGGATGTTCCTGTGGCTTGGCAGTGTTACGCAGTTATTCCTGAGACCAAGACAAGATGGTGGGTGCTCTCCCTACCCAGTGCCACGTGGCCTCCTGAGACAAAGACAAGATGGCAGACTCTCCCTGCAGCCAGTGTTCCCCAAGCCCAAGACAATGAAAATCAATGATGGAACAAACCCCCAAAACTGGATTTTCCACATTGCACCACGCCACCCACTTCCGGACTGCTCTGCTGATTTGATTGCACACTGACTCCCAGCCTCATTCACCAGTGATTCATTTTAATTGGAAAAGCAACCTGTACAAACTTTATAGTCAAAATACATTTTCTTTCTTAAATGTATCTATATTTGTAATCATGGCCCATGTAAAGATCCATGTTATTATCATAAATGACTGAGATGTTGGCTTCATTCACTAGGATCTTGGTCAGGTAGTCCACAAGTATATTGCTCGGTTGTGCAGATGAGGTATTTTGTTTGTTAGTCTTAATGGTGCTGCAGTCATTTGCTCTTTTTTCTCTTACTTGAGAAAATGTGGAAATTGGTGGAGGCTGACTGACCTGCTTTATCCCTCACTCTGCTGTAATTATCTTCACTTTTTCATTGCATTCTGGACTGTTTTTGTTTGAGCTCTGTTTTCTGAGGCAGATAGAGCAGGAAAAAAAACTATCCCAGAACAAAGGAACACCTTCTTCTTTTTGTATTTTGATATATTTCTTCTATTTGTAATTTTGATAGTGCCATTCCCATATTTTCACTTCATATTCCAGTTTTGGACACCTTAGTACTTCCTTTTCTTAGAAGTGAGTTGAGATGTTAAACTGCTCTCCACCCTTGAAGGTTTGGATGCTGCTTGCAACTTTGCTCTGAGAAAAAAAATAGACATTTGTTCCAGTGTTTCCAGTGTCTTCTTCATTTCACCCATGCAGGTGCCTACAGCAAAAATATGACTCCAGTCTGCCTACTGCTAGTATCATCATCTGTTTCCATGATGAAGCCTGGTCTACTCTGCTGAGAACTGTGCACAGCATTATGGATACTGCCCCAAAGGCTTTCCTCAAGGATATCATCCTAGTGGATGATCTCAGCCAACAAGGTAGCTCCCGTTTCTCTGTATGTGAGTTCTTTTTTCCAAAACTTCGGGGAAGAAACTGTCTTCCTCCAAGAAGTGTGTGAAAAAGGAGAGGAGAAGGCAAAGAGGACTCTCAGAAAGTGAGCTAAGCAGAGCCCAGAGTTGGTTACCAGATTTCACTGTCCATCCCTAGAATTCAGTGTAGCCTTTCAATTTGAAATATATTTATTTTTTTTTCCCACATCATGTACAACCACTCTGAACTTTGTTACTTTAAAATAAGATCACACTATGCAAATCTTAGGATTCCCACTGGACCAGAACTGCTGTCATAATTTCCAGACTTGGATTTTGGCTGAAGCATAGAGTGGAAAAGTCCACATTGCTGAAGTAATCCAAAGTGCTTGGGAAAGCCAAACACCTGTAGTATCTCACTCTCATCTGTATATTTTATGAGATGATGAGAGCATCCGCCTTTAGCTGAAAACAGGAGAGGAGGCTATTAAGATTCCCACAGGAATAGCTTCATACCTTGTGAATCTCAGTTTCCATTAGTCTCTACTTCCCTTTGACATTATGCTGCTGTAGAAATATTTGAAACGTGGCCTACTTGGCCATTTATAACAAATGCCCCTGAAACACTTTACCAGCAAGAAGTAGCATCTTCTACTACCTGTTTCCTTTCTATAACAGCTTGAATCAAAGCTAAAACATTTCAGTGACTGATCTGTTTCTTACAGGGCCCCTGAAGTCAGCTCTGAGTGAATACATCTCCAAGCTGGATGGTGTGAAGCTCATCCGGAGCAACAAGAGGCTTGGAGTTATCCGCGGTCGGATGCTGGGAGCTGCACGGGCTACTGGAGATGTGCTTATCTTCATGGATTCACACTGCGAGTGTCAGAAGGGCTGGCTGGAGCCCCTCCTGGCCAGGCTCTCCAGCAACCGGTAAATATCCCTGGATATGCTAATTTCTACTGAAAGGGACGTGTTTGGGAAATGTTGGGTAGTTTTTGTAATCCTCCCTTGGTTACCTTCTTGCTTCTGGTCACATCCCTTTTATTTTCTACCTTATCACCATATGCATCACTCTGATATGTGGGAAGCAGGATAGGTCTCACAGCTGACAGCCGTCACTTTACACCCAGTGTAAATTTCAAAATTAATATCCAGTTAGAGCTTTAAGAAGGCTTCCTGGTGGTCTGAATTAAAAAGGTTTCAGTCTTAACCTGTTTGTAAATCAGCGAACATCCACCAGAGAAAACTTCTGTAGGACTCCATTATTTTTACTTTTTAGCTGTCTTAGTGATGAAGCAAAGAATAAAATGCTTTGTCCTGAGCCAGTTTGGCTGTCTACCACTGTCACCTTTTGGCCACCATTTCTCTTCCACAGAAAAAGCCCAAACTTCCTGGGCAGCCTAGATAAGTCCAGCTAATCACAGGTACTTTCACTGACACCAAAGTAACAAAGTAAGGTAGAGTTTCATATTTCCAAGTATTTCATGTTTAGGGTGCGTCTTGGGCCTGCTTTCTAATCTACAGCTGAGCTCAGCTATGCAGTCCTTTGAAGAGATTAAAACCACTGCAAATGTTTCTAGGCTTACATGTCAGTAAATCTTTTATTAAAAGGAATTTTTTGAAAGAAAAATTTCTACCTTAACCTGTCACTTAGGAAAAATAATTACTAGAGGGGGTAAAATAAAAAAAAAATCTTAAAACTCGTATTAGACTGTTAAATAGTCACTCTAAACATCTTAAAAGGGAGTTCCCAGGCATTGGAAGAAGCTGTTTTTATGGTTTATTATGTTTGCTTACAAGAGCATTAATATGAGCGTTTAGAAATTATTACATCATTTAAATGAAAACATTAGGAATACTGAAAGCAAGAGTAATGCTGTGCTAGAATGTCAGGAATATTCTTTTCAAAAAGGTCCTCCTTGGAAAAGCAGATTATTTTTTGTTTGCTGACTAATTAGATGGTTTATTATGAATATACTTCATGAATATTCAGAATATTCTTCTGCCATGAAATATAGTCTATTTTTGATGTTCAGGCCAAAGTACTGTGTGTATCAATTGACCAGTCCTTATTCAAGGGTGTTGAAATTGCTGAAATTAAGAGTTACAAAAAGTCTCAGAGGAGAGCTATAGTGAAGGGAGAATTACAACAGCAGGAGAGAAGTTAGGACCCCACAACATCAAAAATTCACTGTCAAAAATTATCCCTCCTGAGGGAATGCAAAGTCTCCAAGTCTGCCATCATTCAGAGATTCTGTAGCACTATCACCAGGGGGTGAGAAAGAAATTCTCTTTCCTTACAGGCCCCATATTCTCATTCATTCCTCCAGGACAGCAGAATTTAACAGTGAATTAACTAATACCTAATTGGGTTAATGAAGCAAAGGTGGAAAAGTGATTGGATAATAGTATGGGTTAAGCCATCCCTTTTTGTGTGCTGTATCAGTCACTGTGTCTGACCCTGGAAGCTCTGTCACTGCTAGTGAGGAGAACCTGTGACATCCTCCATTGAGGAGGGAAGATAAGGTCTAAAGCACCTGGCAGTCACCTTCCCTTACTGTCCCTCTTTCTCCAGCTGAAGAACGGTGACAATAACACTGACCCCATCAGGAAGTTAATTCATGACTTTTCATAAATTGCCTGTAATGCTTGCATGGATATCACCATGGAAATGTAAAGCATTAGCATAGTTAACTTGGCTTCATTAAGCACTTGAGGAGCTGTTAAATTGAATCATGTGCACTCCCTGAGACTACCCAAGTGAGGAAAGCACAGAAAGTTGAGAGTAACTGGTGAAATATCCATCTTTCCTCTTCTCAATGTACCAATTAAACTGTAACTCATGCACTTTTGCTGGAGGGACAGGATGGCAAAACACTTCATCACCTGAAATGGGTGAGTTGTTTGCTGGCAAGGACCAATGCAGCCTTCCAAAGCTCAAACCTTTGCAGGAGCTTGAGGGAGCTGTAACTCTGAAACTTGTGATTAAGCCTAATTTTCTAGACTCCTGATCAAAGTGTGTCACTATTACTGTGATCTGTCTTTGAGTGATGCTGAGAGATCCTTGCCCAGACTGAGATCTCACTGAAAGTTGAACATGCTCACAACAAGAAAGATACTCCCAGTTCTTAGTAGAATGCAGGGTAAATATAAGAAAAATTATTCCTATTTTACAGGTATAGAAATATTTATATAGAAATACTTGACAAATATTTGACTTGTTCTAGGTAATGACATTTCATCTCCCTAAATTATGGCTTTATTCACTAACCCAATCTAATTTATTTTTCTGAAAAAATATGAAGTCATTCTAAAATAATTGAATATACACTTTTGAGCACCTTGATTGGGACTAGTTCTGTGAACCATGCCTAATAAATTGACTGGGAAGCTGTGCATCAGCTTAGTGTATTGCCTAGAGAATGGTTCAGTGGTTTCTAAAGCATTCCTTGACATTTTGATTATTCTGGGATGAATACCGTAGGTATCTGGACAATATTAGGAAACTACATGAGATGCCCCACAGATCATTTCATTTGACAATTGTTTGTGTTCCAGGTTAATTCCAGGTGAGTAGCATGGTGCATAACAATGTAGTTGTGCCATTAGTACAGTCATCTTTGGAAGGGTTTACCTTTTCCAGGGGACTGCAGAGCTGCTATTTTGTATTCCATCCAGGGAAAGGCAGAGGGGGCATATAATGAACTGTGCCATGAAGCCTTAAAAATGTTGTTCCTTTGATCTAAAAACAGTGGGCACCATGCTGAAGCAGGATGATTAAAAAAAAAAATCCAAAATGTATTTCCTTAAAATACTTCATGCAAGCAAAATGAACCTTGATTATATCCTTGACAAGGAATTCCACCCTAAAAGAGGCCTGGGTACCATAACTATGGACAGAGGGGTTGTTTGCAAAGGAGTCGCTGGCCCTTAGGACCTTTGCCCTGCTCCTCATTGCAATGGCTGTTTCTCTCTGTGCTGGAGCACTGCCTATACCATAGCTCAAATATTAGATTAGGAAACAGAAGCCTGTTATATTATTTTAAAAAGCTTATCTGATTTCTAAAATTCAAAGTGCCTCTACTTAGCACTGTGATTCCAGGTCACTAATCTTTAATGAAAATGTTGATAAACAGAATAAGAAATTAGCATAGCACTGGAAAGGTGTTTCATCATCTGTATGCTCCCATCAGGAACAAATGGAAGCCTCTGGTTTTTAGATACATGAATAGAAAGAATCCTGCTCTCCAGAAATTTTCTGTATGGTTCTGATTTTAGAGCAATACAAAAGAGAGAAGGGAAATATTTTGCACTAAAGATGAACAGCTTCTTCATCTCTTTTATTCTGATTCCCCACTTTTCAGTGGCCCATATCCCAGCTTTTTGAGCTACCAAATACATAAGCCATCTGTTCTCTAATTTCTCACAGGCTTGGGGAAGCATGATGTTATCCATTCAGAGCCCACACAACCCCAGCGTCTGAGTATGCAATTCCATGCTGCTCTCACTGTTTTGAAAGCCTTCCATACACTTCACATGTGACAGCCTGCTTCCTGGGATTTCTGTGTTTGCTCGATTTTTTATATCCCCCATTTGTCAATAACATTTCAAATTCAGTAAATGTTCTGCATTTACATGGTAGGTTATGGGAAGATAAGCTATCTCTTCACAATCTTTCACAGTTGATCAGGATCAGAAGGTGACCTATTTTAAAGAAGTTGAGGTAAAGGAAAATAAAGATGAGAGTTTAAAGCCAAAGGCAAATATTACTGCTAAACATAGGAGCAATAAAGATTTAGGCATAATTCATGGCTCAGTGCCCTGACTGTCCAGTGTTAAAAGATGTTGGTTACCTTACAGATTTTGTTACTCTACAAATTTTAAAATTTTAGCCAGAAAAGGCTGGTTCAAAAATTACAATTTTTTAATAAAGCATTCCCAAAGCATTCCCTTGGCACTCTGCTTTGTAGAGAATTGCTTAGTGCTTAGCATATGAATAGTCCATCCATTTGAGTAGACTGTTCCTATGCCCTAAGTTAGTCTTGAGCTGGTCTATAAGGCAGTATTTACGTAATCCTTTATATCTTAGCTTTGCCTTTCCTTATCACTGCATTTTATCTTCTTATTAACCCTACCTAATTTCAAGTGGTCTGTATTTCTAAGGCTCCAGTTAGCCAGCAAGATGCTGTCAATGGAAATACAGCATTTTGTGGAACCAGCTTGGGTCCTCAGTTACTCACTGAAGTTTTGACTGCATGCAGAAACAGAGAACCAGGACTGCCTGGATTTCTTACCTATCTAATTTTTCCAAGCTATGATGCACTGTGAAATAGGTTGAGGAATGTATATAATTTTTATGTTTGTTTTTTGGGGATTTTTTTCCTTCTTATTTAAAGGAGGATTTAAAAAGATTAAAATCTATTCCCTTTCCAGCAAAAGAAAGTATAAATCAATACAAAAGCACTTTCAAAAAAAGTGTATCCAAAACTTCAAAACAGATACATTAATTAAATTTTCCTCTCCCCATGTTACTTAGTTTAAAATTAGAAAAGAACATAATGTCCATGCTTACTGTAAAGGGTCATGGGAAGACATTTCATTTGCAATTGTATTTGGTAAAGAAATCCCAAACCAGGAAATTGTTCTTGTTTGGGTTGCTCCTTTTCATGGAATTGTGACCTTTTGTAATTTGTGTGAGTTCCAAGCATTTGAAATATTCACAGATTAGTCAGACAGTTCAAAGCCTTGCTGCTAGTTGTATTTGAATTTCCTGTTTTTCCCTTTCCTCAGATTCCACCGAGTAAAATTAGCAGTAGTTTGTGTTTCATTTCAAAGTGCTGAGAAGCTGTTGTCTGCCAGTTACCCAGTTACAAACAAGAATATCTAAGAACATCTTCCAATTACCATCTACTGCAAATTTGCCTTTATAACTACACAAGTATCCAACCATCCTTGAATATGCAGGAAACACCTATTTTAATTTTTTTTTTATTATACCAACCAAAAAATGGGTAAAGCACTGCTTGTTTAGGATTAAAATTTAATATTGACCAATTTTCACACAGGATAAAGTTACTAGATTCCTCTATTTCAGATCAGAAAGACACTCCCAGTATTAAGTTTTAAGACAGTGTGTATCTGTTGGTTTCAGCAGAGCTACATCATGACTATACTACACGTACACTAGGTGAAGGTCTAGAATTACTCTTACAAACATACTTTTGAAAATTGTTAATCTTGGCATTTTGAAAAAGCTACACGAGCAGTAGCTCTAAAACACAGTTATCAAGTTTTACTGTATAATTTTGTGGGAAAGGAGATCAGATTTTATTTTATTCTGGTTTATGGTTGAATTTAGCCAGGATAGAGCATGACCTATTCCTTCAAGTTACTTTCAGCTTAAACACTGTAATTTTCCATGTCATAATTTGCAGATAGTTTGGATAATTGCTTGGTCTCCAAACTATCAGAATCCATTATGTCCTTACTGCTATATTTCTCGAATTGGAATCTTGAAGAATCAATGCCCAATAACTAGAACTACTGCTGTGATGCCTAGGCTTGTAAGTAATTGCACTGATGCCAGAAGGACCATTGGAGTTTGGAGCTTTATAGTGGCAATAAATTTAAGGTGGATTAAAAAAAAAGACAGGTTTTAAATAGTAGCAATGATATTAAAAGGTAGGATAGTCTGAAATGTTTGGATCATCTGATCCAGAATATATCTGAGGGTGTCTGTATTTGCATTGTCTCTATCTGAACTATCCAGAATTGGTTCATGTGGTTCACATCAGTTCAGATGTGGTCTAGTCTGCATGGTCAAGATCTTTGGAGTGGTTTAGTCTACATTTCCTCTGGCTTCTAGTCAAATACGCCCTCCTGATGTTTCCCTCTTGAATCTGAAGTCGTAAAATAAACTACCCTGGAGTCATTAATTCCTCAGTCCTGTCTGAATGAGAATGGATAAACCAGTAGCAAGAATTAGTGTGGGTTTCAACAAGCAGCAGCAAGCTGAGGTGGGAACTATGCAGCTGCATCTATGCTCCCAACCAGGCAGTTGTCAGAGATATACCTGGAGAATGCAGCAGACTGCAGAAATTACTGTTACAGTGACTTTTCATTTTTGACATTTAGTCATTTAAAATCCATTTAACTTGTCAGATGCATTTCCCCCAGCATATCAAAGAAAAGAAATGCTAGTTTGTGTGAGTCCAGTGGGACACTACCTTTAATAACTTTCAGAAGCAGGTAGTTTCCTTTGCATGCTGTTAGTGAGTAAAATTTTCAGTAGAAAGGGCCCTGCTGCCTTGAGCACTGGGTGGTTTCTTCTGCCATGGATACAAAACTGTATCACAGGGACATCATTGGCAGAATCAGGGAAGGATATCAGCTTTATTATTTTTACTATCACTTCTTCTCATTTCTTCTTGAGTCCTGTGGAGGGATGACAGGAACTCACTGCCTTGATGTATATGCCTGCAAATGCTGCATGTGACCAGAACATTTTCTCACCTATTTATAAACCAGATGCTTGTTTCTAAGAGTGCCTATTGTTGCATATTATAAAGGATGGTTTTACACCTGAGCAGAGAAATAAAATCACTTTTCTATTTTATATCTTCCTGGCTTGAGCTCATCATAGGACAGTCTGCTCTTACTAGGAAACAAAATTGAGTCATTTTAAAGCAATCCTCTGCACGGTTCATCTTTGTACTATCAAGTGGCAAGCAGCAGTCTGTTTTTATGTGGGCTTCTAAAATTCTCTACAGGAAATGTCAACTGTAAAAAAACAAAGTTGGGAGTTTCCCCCACTCTGATACTGAAAAGTCATTGTAGTGATTGTAGAGGCAGAGAAGATATGTCAAGAATACGTTAACATCACCCAGAGCTACCTTCTTCCTTAGCTGGTTCTGGCCTCTACCATGGAAAAATGTCTCCCTGCACTGGAGACTTCTGAGATGTCCTTTCTTCACTGACAGTGTTATGTTTCAAGCAAATTTCTCTCCTTGTGATTTCTGACCAACACATATATCTTAAAAGAGGAGATAAAAACATCTACATTTTGCCCCTAAATTGACCATTTCATTTTTTTCTCTCTCTCTGTTTTCTCTCTCTCTGTTTTAACTGGAAGTTTTTTCCTAGGGAATAATTTCCTACATGGATATTCCTACTCTAGAACAATAATAATTGTTTCCAGTGTACTTTAATCCTTCTTAAATATTACTGATTTTTCTCCAGAGGAACTTCTGTCTATAGACAAGTCTTTGCACTGAGACCAGAGACCATCCTTTTAGCATTACAGAGTAGAAATGGATAATGTTATTCTTCAACACTTTTTCCCTGCAGTCCCTAATACCATTTCATTCATACTCTGAAAATTTCCAAATGTGATATATCATTGACCTGAAAACAAGGAACACTGAAGAGTGTTCTGAAACTACCAGATAATTCCAAGATGATGTGCAAGTACATTGTGAAATACTGTGACTTCTTTGCATAGGGAAATGTCTAGTACCTCTTCTCAGACTAATCCAAATTTAACTTAAGTTTGAAATTAATTCAAGGATTGCCACTTAGAGTGCAATGGCTCTGTTCTTGCTCTTAAAAGTAGATTCCACCCTTTGACAGCACATTTGCAAGAGCATTCTAAGATTATGATAAAATACAAACAAGCACTGGCTTATGAACTCAGTAATAAATATTTTTTCAAAGCAACCAGCAGAACAAACTAAGGATAAGTGCACTCTTTATTGGCCTGATGTGACAAACTCATGAAATGTGTGCAATATCTACAGGAAAATCAAAGGATGATGAAGTGTGAGAGACCAAATCATCTTCTGCTATAAACTTTGCATCCATGCAGAGCCTTTAGCATCAGAGGCTGGGGCTCTGTATGAAATAGCTTTATAAGAATTCTGATGGTTAACTCATAACAAAATCCTAGATAGCTAAATGACAATGCAAGGTACTGGGTATCCATAAATTGTTGATCTTTAGATTCCTCACTGCATGCTCAGTATTCCCGTGCACTGAGCACCTGAGCTTCTGTCAGCAGGGAAACTCAGGGCACTCAGCATTTAGAGGAGTGCTTGCGCTTGACAGTGTCAAAGGGGAGAACTAATGTTTACTAACAGAGTAATGAACTTAATTTATGATTTGGTTTTGGAAATGAATGGTATTGTCTTTTTCAGAAACAGTGTCATCTCCCCTGTTATAGATGTCATAGACTGGAAGACCTTTCAGTACTATCACTCTGTGGGGCTGCATCGAGGTGTTTTTGATTGGAAATTAGATTTTCATTGGGAACCAGTGCCAGAGCATGAAGAGAAGGTACGACAGTCTCCCATCAGCCCTATCAGGTAACAGTCCATCAGACAATGTGCCTTGCTCAGCTCAGCAGCAAAACTGTACAGCTTGGGTCATCTTGAGTCACTTTCCAGCTAAAAAGAGAAAGGTGTGGTTACTTGCACATGCTCAGTTAGTTAATCTGAAGGAATAGTTTTTTTGTTTGTGCTGTTTGTTTTGGCCTTTAGTAATCATTCTAACTGATTGCAGTCACACTTTCAATGTGACAAATACTTTCCACACATCGACACAGCTAGTGTACAGCCTGACCAGACAAGGTATGGAGGCTTGTAGGGAAAGCAAAAGACATGTCATACAGAGTTAAAAGAGATGTCTTAATCATGATCTGTTTGTCTCTTGTTTTGAATATACATGTCTGCAGTGTTCCCCACTGTTCTGAGTCTTATTTGATAATTCAGCTCTTAGCCCCCTTCCCCAAACAAATCCTAGAATTACACTCCAGTTGTTCTTTATTTTGGTTAGATAATCAGTTCATTCAAGCTTATATGGAGCAGTATTGAATCATTTTGTAATACCCTCTCTATGGAAATGGTGGATTTTTCACTCTCTGTGTAATTCTTTATCAGTAACTCAAGGTGTTCCCTTCCAAACTGTTTTCTACACAGGAGTCCAGCAGTAGCTGGTGCAGTGGTGGCCATGGATCGACATTACTTCCAAAATACTGGAGCTTATGATTCTGACATGACCATGTGGGGAGCAGAAAACCTGGAACTATCTATTAGGGTAAGGATCTTAATTAAAACATCAAGCTATGATAACTATTGCAATTTTAAGGAACCTGAAGGAAAAAGCAAGAAGATATTTGTAAAAACAGTGCAGAACCTGTTTGGTTATGGAGACTACAACCTTCCCTGCAGAAATCTATCCCTACACTCCACAGCCTGTCAGGACTACAAAAGAACATGCAGCTGCTGTGAGTTAGGAGCTTTACTTCAGGAGAAGGACATTTTGCTGGCTATCACTGGCTGCTTGAGACCCAAGTCACTGCTTTTGGCAACCTCTGAAAGCCACCTCTTTTATTCTGATATGTTAACATGCACCAAAGGGAGAGTAGCTTTGTTTCTTTGCCTGCCTGTAGTCTTAATAGCAAATTGTTTATATTAAATCCTTGGCATTGACTTTTGCTGAATACAAAACGTAACTGATATTGAAAACCAATGAAAATTGCAGGCAAAAAGGGCATAGTGTTTTTATTATCCCAGATAAGGAAAAGTGTGCACCCAGATTTCTCCACAACTCTGCACTGTTTGTGCACAGAAAAACATGAAAGCATACAAATAGCCATACTGGTTCAAATCAGAGGTCTGAATGCCCAGTATCTTCTCTGTGTATGTGAGGAGCAATGTATAAAGAAGCATATAATAATGCTCCTGCTGTTTCTAGGATTTCCTGAAGCAGAGTCTAGAGTAAAGGAGCTTCTTCATTTCAGATAAAAGTGATCTAAGTAAGGTAATCTCTTTTTGTGCTTTCACTATGTTTCAGACCTGGCTCTGTGGTGGCTCTGTAGAAATTATCCCATGCTCCCGAGTTGGGCATGTCTATCGAAATCACTTCCCCCGTGCTTTCTCCTATGAAGAGGCCATTGTGAGGAACAAAATCCGAATAGCAGAGACCTGGCTGGGCTCATTTAAAGAGAACTTCTACAAGCATGACACAGTGGCTTTCTTAATCAGCAAGGTAAAGACATCTGTAGAGGTTTGTTTCTGAGGTTTATGTTGAGATAGGTGAAGGGAGAGGAATAGGAATGGGGGTGTCTGTATGCAGTCAGATGCAGGGTATAGTCTTTTTATTAAACCTGCCAGTGAAAGAGCTGTCAGACCAGGAAGGAGAGAGAGAAACTTGGGCCTAAGTTCAGCCTTGTGCTGAAGTTATCAAACCTTGTGGAGTATAACCTCTTCTCCAAATGACTCCCCAACAAGCTGTAGTTTGTTTTCTCACTGATCGTACATGGAGGGTTGTGATGCATCTGAAGTGGAAGCCTGCAGCACTTTGTGCTCAGAGGACTGTCCTAGAGGGTTCATTCTTGGTTACTGAAGGTCTTCCTCAGGCTTCTGAGAACATTCAGTATTATTCACAGGTGAGTGGCAAATTATAGTGCCTCTCCTGCAAGGGAACATATCTGAGTGGTCTAGTGACAAAAAAAGGTGTGTTTTTTCCCCTGAACTGATGTATCCAGAATTAATTGAACTGAGAAAGTCAGGTCTCAACACACCACTATTTACAAGTTATACTTTCATTAGAAGCATGGTGCAGACATCTGACTAGACATTCCTCCAGGAATTTGGATTCCCAGCAGCCTGTAAGCTAGGACAGGCTTGCAGGCAGGTGTGTGGTGTAACCTTGGCATACAACTACACTTGAACCATCTGCAGGTTACACATAATCCAATAACTACAGAATGGCTGCACCTGGGTTTTAAGTACAGTCTCCATGACAGATCAGGGGTGGTCAAGGAACTGTATATCCCTTGTATTAGAAACAAGTGGATGTTTGCTTATTGGGAGTCTTGCAGCTGTGGGGAATGTTGTTGGTGTAGTTAATGTTGTTGATAATGTTGCTGCAGTTCTCAGGAATTCTCTGGCTCTGGTACTTTTTCTTGTAATCATATTCTTTCTACAAGGCAGTAGGCAAACTTGTGAGCAGTTTTGAATGAAAATGTACCATTTATCTTCCTGTTCATTTAACAATGCCACGCTTTTAAGGAGAAAAAGATTCATTGAAAGCATTTAGGCAGAGTATGGGTAGGTGCTGTGCAGTTTCCCATTCGTATTTGTTCCTGCATTTCATAGAATCATAGAATCAGAGAATGGTTTGAGTTGGAAGGTCATTCAAACACCCCTGCCATGTGCAAGGATGCCATTCACTAGATCAGATTGCTGAGGGCCCTATCCAGCCTGGTTTTGAGCACTTCCAGGGATGAGGCCTCTACAGCTTCTCCATGCAACCAGTTCCAGTGCCTCTCCATCCTTTGAGTAAAGAACTCCTTCCCAATAACTAATCTAGACCTGCTCTCGTTCAGTTTAAGACTACTGCTCTTTTTTGTAAGTCCCCTTTAGGTACTGGGAGGCTGCTCTAAATTTTTCCTGAAGCCTTCACTTCTATTCAGTTTCATCAAGTGATCCCCAACTTGCTCTTCCCTTATAGGGAGAGGGACTTCATTCACCTTCCCCAGAGTCTTGAAAGAATGGAAAGCCTGACTACCAGCAAAGACTGAGGAATACAACCCAGCCTTCTCCATATCAGTCACCACCAGTTCATTCTTCTTGGTTATCGGTGGGGGCGGGGGTCACATTCTCCTTGTCCTTTCTTTTCTGACTTATGTATTTATAGAATTCCTTCTTGTGATTCTTTGTGTCCCTTGCCAAGTCTTGTTCCAGCTTTGCCTTGTGTTTCCTGGCCCCACCCCTACACATTCGGACCATTTTCCTGTACTTTACTCAGATCACCTGTCCCTGCTTTCACTCTCTGTGCGTTTCTTTCCTCCTGCTCAGTTTGAAGAGCAGATGCTTGCTCAGCCGTGCCAGTTTCTGGCATGCCTTGCTCAATTTCCTGCACACCAGGATAGAGAGCTCTTGCACTATAGGAAAAGCGGCTTTAAAGAGCTGCCAGCTCTGGTCAGCACCTCTGCCCTAAAGGACAGTTTCCCAGGGATCTCCTTCACCAGCTCCTTAAACAGCTGGAAGCTTGTTTTTGCAAAGTTCAGGGTCTTGACTTTGCTCCTCACCAGGCTCACACTCCTTGAGACCACAGACTCAACAAGGGCTTGGTCGCTACAGCCTAGGCTGCCACCAATCCTGACAGCTTTAATGAGCTCATCTGCATTGGTGAGCACCACTGGCTCCAGTAATACCTGTCCTGCATGCCTCATTCGTTCAGGGCTGGCCATCACCCAAGAAAGCCAGGTCCAGCAGGAGCTGCATTATAGTGGGGAGAGGAACAGGACTGTATATCAGCATGACTTCTCTCTTGTCACCTAGTCCCACCTCCTTATGCTTCACCAGTGGATCTGCCTCTCCAGTCAGCCTACTAATTGTAGAGTCTGGAGCTATTGTGTTTCCTTTTTCACTCTTATTTTCACATCTTTTTTAAAGATCCTCCCTCGTCTGTGTTGCAGGTTTGAACTCCACTGGCCAGTAGCCTGTCAATTGATTCAGAAAGGGTTATAGCCACTAGACCAAGCCTTTTAAAATGGGCAGTGAGGTCTTTAAATCATTTAATAATTCCCTGAAAGCTCTTCTTATCAGCTCAGAAGCAATTTTCTCTACTAAAAACTACAGTCACCAATGATACAGCTTGCTAGCTGTAAGCAGCATGACCTTTTGCCTGAGTTTATTCTAGCCAGAATACTTTTACTACTTCTGAATATGATGCTCCTTCAAATGATCAATTTTATGATCTCTGTGTGCAGCATACCATAACATAAATGGACCTTTTGGTGTGTTCCTTTATGTCACAGCCGATGTTTTCAGCCTGTCAGTGCAGTGGGATGTTATTCAAAAGGCACAAGCAAGCAAGGACATTATTGCCACTCAGCAGTAGAGGGCCCTGAGGGGATTTATTGCACGGAGAGGGTGAGCAGAGCCACCTATGGGCCACTATAGACTTCTCTATGAGTCTGCACCACCATTGCTCACTGCAGAAAACAACCAGTGACACCCATTTAGGTGGCTTTATAACCCTTCTTGGTTTATGGTCTGAATCACATCTTGCACAGGATGCCCATGGTGTGAGCATTAAACAGATGAATTAGCCTCTTCCCAGCTCTCTACTACTTCAGCTACCAGCTCTTTTGCTCCTTTTCTTGTGTGGTTTGCATATTTAATTTACAAGCACAGTTTCCTTTCAGATGGGTTTACAGGGACAATGAGTTTCTTTACATTATTTACACCATTTATTCAGCATCGAATGCAGACTGTAACTAGTATGATAAAATGAGATTTACTGCCACTGCCTTCCTCAGCCAAGGCAGAGTCTCAGGAGAAACATATCTTTTTAGAGGAAGCATTTTACTTCTCTCTTCCTTTTCCAGGAAAACCTCTAGAGGATGGTTCTGTGTAGTGCAGAATTGCTAAACTTTATTGTTATGCTTATGGAATCCAAGACTGACACTGAAGTAGGAGGTTCTTTTAAACTCATTGCAACTGTTGAGCTTTGCCTGTGGAGTTTACAATGGCTGGCAAACAGTGCCATATGGAATGATTGATCCCTGCCTTTAGAGACTGACACCTCACCTTTGATCTCCAAGGCCCTTCATTTTTCAATGTTTTCCATGCTGCAAAGTCCTTTTCTTTCTTTCTTATGGATACAGAGAAATAGCTGGTCTGGGAAAAACTTATTTACAGGCAATTCTCTGCTTACATTGCCAATTCTAATTTTTGACAAAGAAATCCAGACCAGTTTCCTGAAATCCCATCCCAAACTGCATTTTTTAAAAAGTAGAAACATGAAGAGGGGACATCTACTGCTGGCAAGAAAGAGGAGAGAGACTTTTAAGGGTTGTTTAGAGTTTTTAAAATTGGGCACTGAGAGATTTAGAAAAGCATTTTGTGTGGTTTTGTAACTGAAGAATTAGATACATAAGTTCTTAGAGGTTTTGAGAATCCTATTAGTCATCTTTAGTGCTAAATACCCTCAAATATTTAGCCTGTCAGTCCTTTGCAGTGCAGATGCCTGTAGCTGCACCAAGGGTTGAAGGCATTTGTCTTTTTTCATAACAGAGTTGCTACTAGGAAAGTTGAGAGCTGATATTGTGTCTTTATAATTCAAGAAAACAGAGAAATCATAGGAAAGGTTTAATGCATTTATAGCTGCAGAACACCTTTGTTCATTACATTTAGTAACTGACAGATAATAGACAGATAATAGGTGATAGACTATATTTTGGGCTAAATTCTGTCATCACTTATTCCCTCTGATCACAGAGAACTGTTTGGGCTGCCAAAGGCCAGGAAATTGAGTTTTTATCAGTGGGAAAAATTCTATATTAAATGGCAATCTAATACAATCCCACTGAATTTCTGTGCAACAGCTATCAAACTTGGTCCTGACTTTTTAAAATAAAAATATGACTTAAGACTTATAAGACTTACTTATCTTGTGGTATAATAATAATTTTGAGGACATAATTATTTTCACAACGTATGCTACTTCAGAAACACTTCTGTCCCAATGCCAGACTGTGGCTATTTTAGCACAAAGTTTGAAGAAGTTTGCACCATAGCTGGATCTCCCCCTTTGCATATGTCATAAGAGATATATATCAATATTGGTAACATTCAGGATAGAAAAGGTGGTAGAAATAATTCCTGTGTAGTCATTTCCATCCTAGTATCTTTAAGACAAATAGACCAGTAACCTTGTTGCCCTTTTTCCCTTTGTCCATAAAGGCAGAGAAGCCAGACTGCAGTGAGCGCCTTCAGCTACAGAAGAGACTGGGCTGTAGAAATTTCCAGTGGTTTCTATCAAATGTGTACCCTGAACTCTCCCAACCTGGAGACAAACCAAGATTTTCTGGCAAGGTAAGAGAAAACACACTATAAAGAATAATTTTTTTTTCTGCATTGTTCAAAGACTCCAGTGTCACTTCCAGGTCCCAAGTACTTGGTCCAAACAGGCAATGCAACCAGAGTGGGGGGAGAAAGAAAGAGACAAAGAGCTGGCCCAAATTCTCACACAAATGTTGAAAACCAGCCAGGAACTAAACTCAGAGTGTCTGACTCAGTTCAGTGTCACAGCTCAGAGGATCCTAACCTTAGGTTCTTCAGGTGCCATTAGTAAAGGAAAAGAACTGTGTTGCCTCATGCAGATGGCAGAAGGGACAGCAGCCAAGATACCTCTGTGCTGACCCATGTGCACAACGAGAAAAAAAAGCATTTATTCAGTCCTGCACTTCCCAAAGGACAGAAGTCATAGCAATAGCAGTTCGCTGGCTGACTGTGTACAGGACAAAATATTCTTAATATCTGGGGGTTTTTTTTAACACATAGTTGATAATTATAATTCATTAAATATTCATTAAATATTAATTTATTCCCAGCAGCCTTACTGGAAGGGAGTTCCTTCTAACAAGGCAACAAGGTCTACTCATTAACACTCAGCTATCTTTAGCCAGATTTTACTGTGTCCTTTTACTATTTTATGTGCTCTTTATTTTTAAGGTTAGCTTGCAAAGAGTGTAAGAACTGAGTGTGGATCACAGGAATTTTCATGTTTCTTTTCTTCTGGAATATCTTGTGTTTTTTCTGACTGTAGTGTCCCGTTGAAGTGCAATTTTCCACTAGCATAAACATTTTGATACCTTTCTTTTAGTTATCATAATAGTTAAACCCAGGATCTCTCTAATTTAAACAACACTCACTGGGTAACACTGACCCTTGGTGAAACTCTGCCTTTTATACCACATTAGTTTGCAAGATCAATATGCAAGATCAAGTCTGAAAGAAAAAAATAGTGCCTGATTTATGAACAAAATCATATATCATAAAGGGATACAATCACAAAATGTTAGCTGAAGGATATTTTGTTTATATCCAATGGTAATTCATTTCAGTATAAACCTTTACTTACAGCTTTACAATACTGGTGTTGGCTTCTGTGCAGATTATAGGCCTGGAAGAGCTACTGCAGAAGGCTCTATTGAACTCTCCCCTTGCAGTGACAGTCTCACTCAGGTAATGTATACTTTGAGTATGTAGGCACTGTGTCAGGTCTAGGGAGCAGTGCAGAAGACAGACACTCCAACATGTAAGTGGGCTGGGTTGACACTAGTGGAAATACTGGCATGTTCAAAATTAGCATGTGCTAAGACAACGATGCCCACTCTTCCACAGCTGAGTGCCACTCAAAAAATGCCAATGTCCCCTGTGTCACTGTGGCAGACACCCACCCTTTGCTCCAGAAGACATTATTAAGTGCTTATTTGTTTAGTATATTTGGTAGTGTCTGGGGAACAGAAAGCTTGTGAGTAAAAAATACAGAAGAGTTCCAGAATATTTGGAGGGAGTCCCCATTAGTGACTAAATCTGAAGATTAATGCCTAAACTACAGTCTAAGGTGGGAGGTAAATTCATTTAGACTCCCTAGCTGGCATTGGTCTAGCTCAGGTTGAGCTGCAGGCACATTTCAAACTGCAGCATGTGAAGACACTGTCAGAAACACCCTTCTGTTCAAATATTTATTAAACTGGAAAATTTTACGATAGGGTGGGTTTATGTTACACATTATCATAGTTCACAAAGCCCTTCCTTAGGTAAATAGTTATGCCAGAATTAGTTAGCAAGGGGGACTGCTTTGAAGGGTCAAGGCTGTTGGGTCTCTGTCCCTCATGTTTGGGTTGCATCTTAACAAACATGTACAGGAAATTGTCTTTAGAATTAGCATTTAAAAATGAACTGGGCTGTCCATCCATCATTGTTCAAACAAACCCTCCCTTTCCCAGCGCTTTGAATACAACAGCATGAAGGAAATCTGGCTTGGTTCTGCTCCGCTGCTTTGCTTTGATGTCAGACACGGGAAGGTCATCCCTCAAAACTGTACAAAGGAGACACACAACAGCACCCAGCACTGGGATGTCCAGGAGGTCAGTAGTAGTGGCTCTGCCATGGGGGAAAGGCAGCTGATGGTGACTGTGGGATCACTGGGTGATTTCAGGATTTGTGTGAAGAAGGGAGGAGGTACCTGAAGAGCAAATTTCACTTCTGTACCTTTTTAACTGAGAAAAACTGGGATGTCTCTTGCCCACTAACACTGTTTATATTAAAAAAAACTGGTTTAGAAATACAAACTACAGAAATGAAATCCTAGCTAAAATCCTATGTCTTTGTTTTACTATTTGTTTTACTGGCCTTATATGAATAGAATTAGAATCAGTGATTGTGAAAATAAGAGCAGGGCAAATCCTTTCCCATTTCTTTCAGATTGAGGAAAGGTTTGGAAATTGTGACCCCTCCCAAATGAGAGCCCTTTGTGGAGCTTTTAATGGGAAAAATTAAATTTTCTCCTGCATTGTAAGAAAAGAGCAAACTTCCTATTAGAGGAATTCATTGTTTTTCAGTGAATTTTACCCAGCAGAGCAGGAACTCCTCAACAAGACTGAAAAATGTCTTGCTCTGGGACAGCCGGGAAAAATAACAGTTACTGTAGTTGTAGGGATGCAGCAGTCCTCTGGAACAGTCCTATTGTAATTTGGTCATGGCCTGTAGTACTGAGGTTGGGGCTGATGACAGCCTGTAGCCATAGGAAAAAAACAGTGGTGGAAAAGAACTCTACACCTACCACTCATGTTAGCTTCAGAAGGAACTATGAATATTCACCATGCTTTGGGCACAAAGCTAAATCCAGTCATTGTGTTTGGGGCATTGCTTAAAAAAAATTTGAACAACCAGTTATTACTGGTGATATATTGCATATACATTTTCTGAAACATGGCCTAGCTTTTACTGGAAATCCCTTACTTTTAATTTGTTCTTTCTTTCTTTCCCTTCTTCTCTCATCTTGTAGAATGGAATGATTGTCCATGTCCTTTCTGGTAAATGCATAGAGGCAGCAAAGAGTGAAGATGAGAAGGACTTGTTTCTGTATGCATGTAACCAGAACGCGAATCAGGTGTGGCAATTTGAACGCTCCCATGGGCTACGTCAGAGGTGACTGACAGGTCTCTGCAGAGGTCAAGTCTCCAAAGTTTAACATTACTTCTGCTTGGGATTTAAGATGCATTTCCTGCAAGGACAAGAAAGATGTTTGTGTTTGCTGTAGCATGCAGGGAAGTCAGGAATATCTCTTGTTTAAAAACCCGGCTCCTGGTTAATCCAGCTCTAGCTAAAATTTCTATTTATTCTGTGAAGCAGGGAATAGAGAGATTGTGAGAATCAACTCTCAACTCTGCTATTGCAGAAGACAGTTAAGTTTGCTCTTTGAAGGAAACATGGATAATTGGCTGCCAGACAGCTTGTCTTCAGTATATGCTGTGACTTTTGAGGATACAGGGAAAAAAGTGAGATTTTTGAAACTAAGAGGAAGCCAGCCAAACCAGGACAGGAGTTCAGCCTTTCTTTACAGTGCCCTCGACTCATATAAAACAAAGTAGGTTTTGTATGTATAAAAGTAATAGATGTTTCCACGTGTAATTGCAAAAATTTTGTTTTCCAATTAGACTGAGCCAAATTTATACTCTCTGGGAGATTACACAGAGCATAAATTAACATTTAATTAGGCACTAAATGCTCTGATTGACTTGGACTATTAACAGTCCTCAGTGTTTGGCACACCCTTCCTTAAATCCTTGTCCACAGTCTAACATGGATGGGAGAATGAAACTGAAATATTAACAACTTTTTTTGTTGTTTTAATTATATTTAAGGACAGCTCCTCAGGAAACTTTTGTGGTAGTAAGGAGGGTAACAACGTCTCTGCTTATTTGGGAATAGAAAGAATCGGCGGCATCCATTTGCTCTTGTAAAGCCATGGGATGAGCTTACTATTATATTATTAATACTATTATTATTATAGTAACAGAAGTGCTGGCTGAAAACAACAAGTGAAGGGAAACAGCCAGTTTCAATAGTGGCTACCTAGGAAGGAAATACTGGTTTGCTTCCATTTGCTTGCAGCCTGAGTTAAGTCTTTCAAGATGTCAGTTTTAGCCAAGATTGTGTATATTCTTGCTGCCGTGGGTCTTCAAGATGATCCTGAGAAGACCAAATTTTCTAAAGAAGCATCTTCTGTAGAGCCTGCATTGCTGCTGACCTGCTGTCTTTCAAAGGAGTGAATGAGAGATGAGGTTAAGTAACAAGAATGGTCTCACACAGTATGAACTTAGCAAAGCAAACTTCCACTTCAGTATCTCATTAAGGTACCTTCCTTTTTGAAGATAAAGTCAATAATGATGACATTTTCCAAGAGCCTGCTAAGACAGAAGAACAAAGATTTGGGAGTCCTCCCCGCATCAACACATCTGATTTATAGTCTAAATCAATCATAATCCTACGTACATATTAAAGGGGAAGGGCATCATTAATGAAACTCACTTAGTTTTTGAATTCTTTTCAAAGGACAGAAATTTGTGTGGTTTTTTTTAAATGTACAGCACATTGTTTAAACTTTAGAGAAAGGAAGGAATAACAGATTATTCTGCTAAGAGCCTTCCAGTCACCTGCTCTCAGTAAATCATAATAAATTGGTATCAAGCATATAAAATTGGTTACAAAGGAGGACACGAAGAGTATTCTCTGTTGTGTTGTCCAAAACATCTCACAGTGTCTAACTCTCTGTCTACTTTGAGTGCTACAGATTCCACAGTGTTCAGGCATCACTCCAATCCTCTTGATTACCACTTAGGCTTTCTTTGACAGCATCAGAATCTATTACTATTTCTGCTGTGTCATTTAAAATTTCTTGTGACATTCTGGAAAATGCTTTAATTTTCAGCTAAGATGATGATAGCAACCTCTTCCAGAACACCAAGTGATCCCTGACCATTGCCCAAATCTAGGGTGAGAACGGACAATTTTTAAAATTGCATAAAAGAGTAAAATGCTGTTTTAATGACGTGTGATTACTTTATTTTAAATTATGAGTATGCCAGATTTTTAAATTATGTACTATTTATTATATTTTGGACAGTACACTGGGAATATAATTCCTTCAGAATTTAGGTAAATGTTTAAAAAATGTGTATACAAATATGGTAATTGACCACAAGTGATATTTATCACAAAGAAGAATGAAAATATTTTTGGTTTAGAGAGGAAATGTTTGGAATTTCGGAGACATAGACATCTTCATTTATACTACTTTTTAACATAGTAGTAAAAATCTGTAACCTAATGTTTGTTTTAGAAATAAAATGAAGATCGATGGTGCAGTACCATTTAGAAAATAATTGTTAATTCACTTGTTTCACTTAGTAACAGAGTAAATGTGTGTTTGGTTTCCAAGGAAACTAAATTCCAGAGTATGGGCCAGAAGGGAATATGGATTGTGGAGCACACTTCCCTCTAGTATAAACATAACTTATTAAGCACAAATTAAAAAAAAAAAAAAAAAAAAAAAAAAAAAACGAAGGGAAAGCATCTATCTCTGTTTTTCCTATTTTCCTTCCTATATGGCTTTAAAATGGATTGGTTGGTTGTACCAATACTGTTTCCTCATTGTGGTCATTTAGACTTTGCCCCTGTGGTTACATCCATCAGCTAAATTCTTCTCGTGGAACTGGGCTCAACAAAGAGTGGTGGCTAAGCATGCTGCTATGTTTTCCTCATTTTTACCCATCTTTCATGCAATACTAGCAGACAATGATGCTTTGAGCATCACAAAACATGGAATTACTTTCAGTTCTCTATTTAGACAAGGTCAATATTTGAGGTTCCACTCATTCCTGTGACAGGAGAGAAACGTAAGGACAAAATGTTTCATGCAAGAATGAAGCAGTTTAAACTCTGACGGCCTCCAAAGCAGAGCCTCAGGCAAGAGCAAAGGAATTCCAGCATAACACAAATAAATATCTTATAACTCCACCTGTTTCTTTGAATTCTGCAACTCAGGCACAGTGAGTGCTTTGAGCCAAACCCACCCATGAAGCTGAGCTAAAAGGTTAGATTCAAGAACAGGCCACCTTTTAGTTGACAGCACTTACTAAACAGCCTAGTTTATTCCTCTCCCAGATCATGGCAAATGGAAGAAAATAAAGACGTGGAATATTACTCAAAGTACTTTTAAACTGAGCCCCAGTCGATGCAGTTGGTGCTGGCTGGGGTTTGTCCTGTTAGGTGAGGTGCCATCACTGGCACAGAGAAACAATGGCAGCATTTCTCTCCATGTGTTAACCTGAAGTCTAAACAGGGAAGGAAGGTTTATCAACCTTCATGCTAAATCCTGTAGCAAAGAAATGTTGAGGGTATCTCTCAGTCCACATGTAAGTGCCTCCAGGTCCTGCCTTGAATATGTTCATTGAGCTGTAATACTGTCTGCTGATTAAAATGCAATAGCTTCCATTTCTGATATCCCCAGTAAAGAATGGAGCTATATTCAGGCTTCCTAGACAAGAACAGTAACAGCCTAGGTTTCCATAACAGCTGGAAGGTGACATGTGGGTGAGAATTTTCAGATTCTGACTTTGTATCTCATTTTATCTCTAGCAGTTTGATTCAAACTGCAAATATATTGGAAGAGAGTAAAAGAGGAATGTTTTGCAAATAGGTAACATGTTTTTAAGCTCATGTTTTTAAGCAATGCAAACTGCACGTGTCTGCCCTGAATAAAGTGTATCAGTGCACAGACAAACATATTTTTATTTCCTTCATTGTTTTATGATTTGTTAATACCTTGTTTTTCTCATGCTGCAGCAGAGCTGGTCTACAAAAAACCCAGTCAGAAAGTATCCAGTGAGTGGCAATACCCTCATTCAGCCATCACCTGACAGTCTTACAGAAATATACAGGACTTGCCCCTGTCAGCATCTTAGAGGGGGGTTGATTTTGCAGTCCTTTGCCATAATTCCCATTGGTTTCATTGGAAAGGTCTGAATAAGAACTCCAAACACAGAGTCCCTGGAAAGCATGGACTCCAGCACACCCTTCAGGAAGTTCACAGCTGCTTATTCACCAGGTGGTTTGGAAGGATGTTTCAGAAAAACAATCTGGCTATATGACTTGAGATAGCAGTCATAGTGGTTTTGCTATCTTTCTAGCTGCTAATTTATTTTTTTTAATTAGCTATCACACTTGAGGATGATTATGCTTTAGACACATGGGACAGGATTCACCTCTGTTAACTGGGGCCACCTGAACAGTAGTCACAACTAAGGTAGTGGTCTAAGTTTCTTCTACTGGTGAGCAGAGAACATTTCCAGAGCTAACCAAAGGCAAGTATTTTACCACTATGGGTAAATCACTATCTAGAAATGCTTGCTTTCTCTACTGATTAGAGAGGGGTTCTTGATGCTTAATTTAGATGTCATGTATAAATGTTAAACTGGAGTTAAGTGGAAGGAAAATAATCCCGAAGGGTACCCAGGGCTAAAATCCCTTCCAGGAGCCCAACCCCAGTGCCCAGCTCTTCCAATTCCCCCAAGGTCTGGCTGTAGGCACAGAGATGACAGCCAAGAACAAACTTACCACCATCTGCAGTTTCCTCAAATGAGTTAAATCCAACAGTGTACTTTTCCAAGACAGCTTTGTTCACAGACTGAGAGACACCACTTTGTAGGATGCTGTGTTAAAGCATGATCTGGTCCCAAAGGAATAAAAATTCAAATTTTCAGAAGTGTCTCTATAATATTTTGAAGATGTTAACTCTAATATTAATAATAAATCTTCTGTATCTTTCTGCTGAGTAGGCTGGAAAACTGCAGAAGAATTTTCACAACACAGAACAGGTACTGGTTTGCCAGGATTGTTTGCAAGGTTCTTCTTAGCTTGAACCTAAGTTACAGACAGACCAGCCTGAGAGCTGAATGCATTACTCAGTTTCTAAGTAGATGAATGGTGACCTTTCTTAGAGTCCATGACCTTTGGTAATACTATTGTGATATTTATTTACACCAATGGTAATTTTGTATTACGAATTGAGAAAAAGGTGAAAGTAATCAACTTTTTAAAATATGCATAATATAAAATTTAAAATATCTAATCTATTTTGTGCAATTATTCAAAAGATTGCTCCTGCATTTATTAGTCCCTCAGTCTTACAGACTGATAAAAAATAATCTAATAATGTCACTTACATTATTATAGGCATAAATGAGCTTTAAAGGATTACATCCCTTAGTATTGTATTTTTCATGTATTTTTATTCACTTCTTATGCTAGTAGGTGAAAACTGATTTTTTTACAGTCTCTTTTTCATCACTTGACGTGATAATTACAGAAAAAATTTAATTGCAGCTCTGAAAGAAAATCAACTGGTACTTTGATGTATCGGGAGTTCAAGATGGAGAACATCAGATATTTATACCTGAGTACAAGCCCTTGGGAGGCTGCTTCTGTCAATCACGCTTTACACATCTAGTTTGGGATTACTGAACAAACAAAAAATGGTCAAAAGTTATAGCCAAATCAAAATGTTTGACGCAAACATGTCCTACAGAGACAACACGTCATTGCATTACTATTGTCTTCTTTTGCTTTCCTTCTTATTAGCACACATTTTGCCTGCTTAGAAATCAAGAGCCAAGCAGTCAACAGACTTTAATAATCAAAATATTTCAAGTGGGCAGACACATAGAATTAATTATGTCAATTAAAAAATAAGTCTTGCAGTAAATTTCACACTGGACAAGTTGTGTTATAAAGCCCTGGCTTTCTGTTGTCTTACCTAGTTTGTGTGTCATACTCATCAAAAACTTATCATCTGTGGTGCCAAGAGCTGCCTTCACTTACAAATCAGTCAAAAAATACACTTAGTCTGGCTGAGCACTGATGCTCCCTGAGCCCATGCAGTCCAGCTGATGGATCCCTGGCTGCCACAGCAAGCTCCCAGATGGTGGCAAGAGCCCCTTCTTCAGGGCAGTTTGCTGTGGATTCCTTTGCTTGCAGAAGCAAAGGAAACATTAATTTCCTAGTGCAGCAACCTGCAGTCAGTCTGTGGTGTCTGCATGGATTGTGCACGCACAAGCCCAGGAACAGAGCCTGCTGCTGACGCTAAGGAAATAACTTTGAGCTTTGCAGTTTCGACTCCAGCTCCTGCTGTTGGAACAACCTTCTGTGTGCAGCCCGTGACAGAACTCTTAAGATTCTCTAGTGCCAAGAACAACTCTTAAATCAGTGATGAGAGGAAAGGAAACAAAATAGGTCTTGACACTGGAAAATAACTTGATAAGCAAAATAAGAACAATGAGACCATAATTTGCTAATTACAAGATGTCTATCTTTCCTATAAAATATGCAATTTTGGCAGTTTCATTCAAGATTAGACGTAACACAATGCTCAGACTTGGCAGATAGTGGTGATTCCATTTTGAGGAGTTTCCAAGGTTTCTGAATTTGGTTTCAGCATGGAACAAGACCCACCATTTCCTTTGCTCTCTGGGATAGAGCTGGGCTGCTCACAAAGGCCGTGATGAGAGAGGTCTCCAGGCCAGGCTGCCCAAGGCAAGGTGTTGGGCTCTGCTTCTTTGTCACCCATCATAAGAAAGAACCTTTTCCTCTGGGCCGTCTTGCTTTCAGTGCGCTGGCAAATTTTGATTTAAAATAGTTTTTCTGAATTTTTACTACTATCACTTGTAAATGAGTCTACAACAATTACATGCCAGCAAAGTCTGCAGATTCAGCAAAATGAGAAAAATCAATATTCAGTTTTTAACAGAGAGAAAGAATAAAGAGGCAAATGGGAAAAGGAGAATTTCCCAATTTCCCAGTTCCCAAGTACCTCCATCCATTTCTTTCCATGGCACTGGAGCACTGCAGAACAACCCAGCTGGGCTACTAAAACAACAGATGCCTCAGGTTTATGTTGCAAGTCTTGGTTCCTAATGACATGCCTGACAGGGAAAGGCTTTTTTGCATTTTCGTGTGTAGAACTGAATATATTTGCTTTCTCAAGTGGGAGCAGTGAAAATGAACTGAATATGTTTGCTTCTGCCAGTGGGAGCAGTGAAAATGAGAATGAGGATGGCTCAGGAAATGACTGTCAACCTCAGTGGCAGAATTGAACCAGGTACATAAAACAAACAATTGACAATCTCTGATTGCAGTTCAAAGTTAGGCCACTTCGTTTACCAGTAGATGCTGTTGTGTTTAGTAGCAATGAATTGCAGAAAGGGTTTTGAAGTTTGTTTTTTTTTTTTTTTAAATTGTGCCTTTATTCTCAGTCCTAGGCCTCTATAACAGTGTCAGATTTTATGCAGTTCATGTTGATGTTGTGTTGATTTAAATAAAGTCACAGCTATTGGCAGAAACAGCTTACATAAGAATGTCCAAACATCCTTCATTTTTACTTTGAATTAGTTACTGTATTGGAGTGAAAAGCATAAAAACATGAATCAAAAGGCAAGAAGCCTAAAAAAAGGAGATGTAGATGTCTATAACCATGATGTGCTATCTGAAAGA